GTCAAACAAGTTATATTCTCTGAAGCTCTGGCTCAGCTGATAAGGAAAGGCTGGGAAAAACACTGAGCACGTGTACGTAGAAGGGTTAGATGACCCCTATTTCCTTTTGCGACATGAGGCTAATCTTTAATGTTTATTGAGCACGTACTATGTGCCGGGCCCTGAGCTCAGTGTACAGCTGCTCTCCAGGATGAACACGATAACTCCCCCTGCTTTATAACTCAGAAAAAAAGAGGTAACAAGGTACAGAAAGTAGAATATCAGTATTCTTTTTATTTTTTTAATCCTTACCCAAGGACATTTTATTTTCGTTGCTTCCGGAGAGAGAGGGAGAAACATTGGTGAGAGAGAGAAGCACCCGTTGGCTGCCTTCTATACATGCCTGTGTGCCCTGATTGGGAATCAAACCTGCAATATTTTGTTTTACAAGATGATGCTCTAACCAATGGAACCAACCACACCAGCCAGGGCTAAAAGAAATCTTTAAAAAATAAATAAAATTACCCTGGCTGGTGTGGATCAGTGGATTGAATGCTGGCCTGCGAACCAAAGGGTCACTGGTTCAATTCCCAGTGAGGGCACATGCCTGGGTTGCGGGTCAGGTTCCTAGTAGGGGACATGGTACAGGCAACCACACACTGATGTTTCTCTCCCTCTCTCCTTGCCTTCCCCTCTGTCTAAAACTAAAATAAATAAAATCTTATAAATCAAGCAATCAATAAAAATCAATCTAGCAAGTTCCTTCACAGGACCACTAGAATGTATAAACCCCTGTCCAGTCTAATGAAGCTCAAAAGAGACAAAGCAAAACTGTTCAAAACCATAAATGAAAAGAGAACTATAACTACAGATAGAGAAAAAGAAAAAAAATACAAGTAAAATGTAAATGCCACACACCAGTATGGCAAATTAAAAAATCTAAAAGAAATGGATCATTTTCTATCCAAAATTGAACTTCATGAAGTGTAAATAAGGGGAGGCAGGCAACCTGACTTGACTAATGATTAAAAAAAAGCCAGACACGAAAGACCAATTGTATCTAAGTAATCTTTAGCCATAGAAATTCCTATGTAACTGCTCCACGTCAAAATAAGATGGAAAGTTCCCCACGTGGTTTTGTAAAACCAGCTTATATGAAAATCTCACAGAAACCATACACAAAATTACAGATCCATTCAGCTATACATATAGAAATTTGTGGGGACTTCCGCCAAGATGGAGGCATAGGTGGATGTGCCGTGCCTTCTCCACAACCAAGATTAGAGAAAACTAAATATTAGCAACAGAAAACACAGCCAGAACATGGAAAATTGAACTTTTCGGAAGTCCGTTAACAACAAATTCTTCAGCCTGACCGGTAAGGGGCGAAACCAGCGGCTGGCGGAGCAGGGTTGCACAGGAGGACTCGGCCAGACACACTCAGGCCCGCGGAATCCAGGCGCAGTGTCAGACCTAGTGAGCGACCCAGCGAGCAACCAGGTGAGCGACCTCGGGGGAGACAGCCGGGCACGGGGCTGCATGTTGACTGAGGTCGCGCATTTGTGCGAGGGTGGACAGGCGAGGGAGTGGGCGGTTGGACCGGGCCGCAGGTCCCCACGGCAAGCGGCAGTGGAGGGCGCCGCCATTTCCCTGCTCTGACCCCACCTCCACATACAGCGTCACAACCCAGCGACTCTGAGTGGCCCGGCCCAGGTGAACCACCTAAGGCACTGCTCCTCCGCACCCAGCTGTGAGAAGCGGCAGAGGGGGTCGCCATTTCCCCGCTCTGGCCACGCCCCCACATACAGCGTCACAACCCAGCGACCTGGGAATCCAAGGCGCCGCTTCTCACACTTAAAGGGCCCGAACAGACCAAGAATGGCGCAGGAGGATCTCAGAGCCCCAGAGCCAATAAATCTAAGCGATGAAGAAATAGCAAAACTCACAGACGCACAGTTTAAAACATTGGTGATCAGGATCCTCACAGAACTGGTTGATTATACCGACAAATTAGACAAATATATGAAGGCGAAACTAATCGAAATGAATGGAATTGCACAGGACACCAATAGCAATGAAAAGGAAACTGGGACTCAAATCAATGGAGTGGACCAGAAGAAAGCAAATAATGGCCAAACAGAAAAGAGTCAAGAAGCAAGAATACAAAGAAATGAGGAGAGTCTTAGGAACCTCCAGGACATCTTTAAACGCTCCAACATCCGAATTATAGGGGTACCAGAAGGGGGAAAGGCACAGCCACCAGTGGAGAACTTATTTGAACAAATAATAAAGGAGAATTTCCCCAATCTGGCAAAGGAAATAGACTTCTAGGAAATCCAGGAAGCTCAGAGAGTCCCAAAGAAATTGGACCCAAGAAGGAACACACCAAGGCACATCGTAATTACACTAGCCAAGATTAAAATGAAGGAGAGAATCCTAGAAGCAGCAAGAGCTAAGGGGACAGTCACCTACAAAGGAGTCCCCATCAGACTGTCAGCAGATTTCTCAAAAGAGACCTTACAGGCAAGAAGGGGCTGGAAAGAGGTATTCCAAGTCATGAAATCTAAAGACCTACAACCAAGATTGCTCTATCCAGCAAAACTTTCATTTAAAATGGAAGGACAGATAAGGTGCTTCTCAGATAAGATCAAATTCAAGGAGTTCATCATCACCAAGCCCTTATTATATGAAATGTTAAAGGGACTTATCTAAGAAAAAGAAGTTAAAGAAACATGAACAGTGAAAGGACAACAAACTCAGTTATTAACAACCACACCTAAAACGAAAGCAAACTAAAAGGACAGCTAGATCAGGAGTGGAACCATAGAAATGAAGATCTCAAGGAGGGTTAGCAACAGGGGGAGTGGGAGGAGGAGAAGGGGGGAGAAGGTACAGAAAATAAGTAGCATAGACAGTAGATAGAAAATAGATGGGGGGGCAAGAATAGCATGGGAAATATAGAATCTAAAGGACTTGAGACACATGGTCATAAACTAAAGGGGGGGTGATGGTGGGGATGGGGGGTAGGGTGGAGGGGAATAAAGGGGGAATAGAACAACTGTAACAGCATAATCAATAAAAAAAAATTAAAAAAAAAAGAAATTTGTAAATAAAGTAGCAGTAGACCAAATCCAGCAGTAAAAAAAAGCCAATTAGCAGTCATTACAGGAATTAAAGGGTCAACATCCATCATCGCCATTCATTATATTAATACATAGAGTAGAAAAGCCACATAAATATATTAATGCGACCCAAAATGGGACTTGAAAAAGGTCAGCAACTGTTTCTAGTAAAAGCTCTCAGCAAAAAGAAATACTTGGAAACCACCTAAATGTAACGACAGCCTATTCACCAGAAAATCTACGGCAAATGCCCATCAACTGCTGAGGTCAGGACCTTTAGAAATCAGGAACAAGAGGGATAAATCTGCTATCATCATGAGTATCTAACTTCTGAAACTTCTTGTTATTCATAAGAAGACATGAAACACAGTACGTTATATACATGTTAGAAAACAAGAAGGGAACCTGTTTTGAATTTGCAGGTGACTTGGCCGTACACCTGCAAGTCTCAAGGCGCTCACTTCCAAAACTACTGGGATCAATAAGAGAAGTTCGTCAGGGGGCTGGATAAAACATAAATAAACCCAAGGAGCTTTTCCGGACCAGTAACATTAGGTTGCAAAGGGAAACACTAAAGAATTCCATGTAATTCCATTGAAATAGTGCCCAAAACACCAGAGCAGACAGGCACAGGCCCTTTGTGGAGAAAATGATAAGAATGTCACTAAAACATAAATGAGCACCAATTGAGTCGCCACGCGGAATGCACAAAAACGGAAGAATGCACAATCAAGATATTTTGGGCAAAATAGAATGAGTAGAAAACTTGCAGTCACAGGTGGTAACCCAAACAGTATGTCACTTGCCCAGGAACAAACAGAGGAGGATGGGGGCTCAGTCCGGAGAACCCCGAGAGGCGCACAGGTGTGTCTCAGGGAAAGTGACAATAATGATGAGACTTGACTTCAGACAGAGACGGAAGCCCACCCGTCTAGACTCTCCCCCATACCAGATCCACAAATAAGTAGCAGAAAAAATGAAAGCTTACAATATAAATCAGTAAAATGAAAATGCTACGTGCTTCTAAAAGAGTGTTTCCATAAAACTGAGGTGCAAATGACCTTTTTCCATAATGCAGATGCAGGAAAAGGTAGACACGATAGATCAGGTGTTTGTATATCTCTGTCACTGCAAAAGCTAAGAGACAAAAGAAAAAGAATCAACAGCAAAATATACTGTCAACATGTACGATAAACAGGTTTGGAATCTCTAATACTCGAAAGGCCCTACAAAGTGAGACAGACAGAGCAAACGACCCTTCAGAAAAACAACCAAGAAACAGTAAATGGGCAACACACGTAGGGGGGATGCAAATAGTTCATGAAAATGTGAGAAGATGCTCGATGTTATTAATTATGAGTGTGGATATCGAAACCAGATCTCATTTTTGCCCACCGGAATGATAAAAATGTAAAGGCTTCTTAATACAGCATGCTGGCCAAGGTGAGGGGACAGAAGCTGCCACATATTTCTGGTGAAGGTGTGAATCTCACAGCTTTTTAGGGAAGTGATTCCAAAACAGTCCACTTTTCCAACTTTGATCTATATAGGAGGGGGGACCCCCCACAACAGAACTGTCTTCTGGAGGGTGGGCCCCTTGTAGTCCAGGCTCCCCCACTATGTGTGTGTTCCAGGAGCCCATCTGTATCTGTGTGCCAGCTGGTGTTGTTGTGAGAGGCTGCATTCGGCTTCAGTGATTTTTTTTTGAGGGGGGAAGATTCTTTCAACACGTTTGCCCATCTCATGATGGGTGATTTACGAGCACACCTGCACATACCATGCCCAGTGTCCAGCAGTTTTGGACCAAAAACGGCATGCCCCCCCAAGCCCCACCAAGCCCCACCCTCGCTATTCACCTGATCTCACCCTGAGCAACTTTTTGTTTGTTTGTTTCCCCAGATGAACAAAGTTCTCAAAAAGGAAAACATTTCGCCGATGTGGAAGCATGGAAACAAAAAACGGCAGCAGGACTAACAGGCCTCCAAACCGGCATGTTCAAACCTGTTCCGAGCAGTGGAAAAAAGTGTCCGCAGGTGTAGTGCTTTGAATGGAGGGTCTTTTGAAGGGGACTGAAGTTTAGACATGTAAGAATAAACACATAATTTTTAATAAATAAATTTTGTTTTTGCGGGGAGGGAGTGGTTGACCCCTGTAAACAAATATCCCAGAAAACCAGGCTACAGTACAAGGGAGCAAACCCCGAAATAACCCACACGTCCACCAATCGGAGAAGCGCTCAGCTGTCCGACCTCCATCCGCTCTGCGGATTTAAGGCTCGTGGGCACACCCCCTGACCTGCCGGGAGTTCAGCTGCAGCACTGAACCGAAAAAGCCAAGCCGAAGATGACGTAAGTGATGCGATCTTATTTTTGTCATCAAAGCAGAAAGCTAAAACTAAAACCCTGTGAGTGATTTGTCCTGCTTTATTGAGATGTCACTGACATCTCATACAGGGCCAAGGTTAGGTGTTCCCCGTGTTGATTTGACACATTTACTTATTGCGGAACGGCCCCCACCATGGTGTTAGCCAGGGTCCGCCTCCTGCCACTAAACTGCTGTTCCTTTTTGGTGGTAAGAGCACCTCAGATCCACCCTCTTAGAAATGTGTTATTAAGATACGTAAGATAGTATTATTCGCTACAATCCCAATGCTATGCTTTAGATCTCCAGAACTTATTTATCTATTATTATTATTATTAGTATTATTATTATTATCATCCATCACCCGAGGACATTTTTTCACTGCTTTTAGGAGAGAGAAAGAACAAAACAAAACATTGAGCTGTTGTCTCTTGTACGCGCCCCGACCTGGGGATCGAACCCACGGCCTAGGTAGGCGCCCCGACCGGGACTTGAGCCTGTGACCTAGCCCGTGACCTTACGGGGTACGGGTTGATGTTCCCACCGACTGAGGCACACCAGCCAGGGCCAGATCTTACCCATCTTTTAAACAAAGTCTCTACCCTTTCACCAACATCTCAGCTCCCCACCCCCAGGCCCCGGACGCCACCATTCTACTCTCTGTTTCCATGAGTTTGTCTTTTGTAGATTCTATACAGAAGTGAGGTTGTACCCTATTTGTCTTCCTCCGGCTTATTGCTCTTGGCATCATGCCCGCCAAGTCCATCCACGTTGGCGCAAATGGCAGGGTGATACCTTTTTTTCTCGTGGCTTAAAATAGTCCGCGGCACAAGGTACCCCGGTCCCTCCTCCTCTTTTCTCCGTCCGCCACGTGACTACTCACCGTCTTCCCGGAACAACTGCTGGGCGTGGCACTGGCTTCGATGAAGTACTTTCTGAGCAGGTGCTTGCTGGGGTCGGGGCTGTCCAGTAAGATGTAGGAGCAGAAGAAAGCCCCGTGCCGAAGCAGGAAGATGGCGATGTCTTCGTTGCCTAGAGGACGGGCGAGAAAGGCTCAGGGCGTTTCAGATGCGGGGCGCGTCCCATCCGTCCTGGGTGGTGGATGCCAGTGTGGGAAGCGGAACAGCCAAGGTTGAACTGGTCCTTTCCTTCCCTTGGCACGTCAACTTCCTCTCAGTGTGGGTCTGTGGGGGGCTCTGCCCTTTGCAGTGGCCCCTACGATGGGCCCATGTGCCACGGCTGGTCCCTGTCCCTGAAATCCCCTCGGAGGGGTGAGATGGGGCTGGGAGGAGGGGGCGAGTAAAGGAAGACGCAGACATTTGGAAAGAGAAACCAAAAAACGGGAGCTGCAAACGTCTCCACGCAGGTGACTGAGAGCCAGGGTTGGGGAGGACACCGTGACAGTCCTCCTTGGCGGGACTGACGGGGGCGGGGGCACCCACCTGACTTGATGGCCGCGTAGAGGGGTAAGCGCACGATGACGGGGAACTCGTTCTTCCTGACCGCGTAGCTCTCGGGGTCGGCCCCGTGTGTCAGGACAAGGAGCTTCACCAGCCCCAGGTGGCCACGCTGACAGGCCAGGGCCAGCATCCAGTTCAGCAGCCGCTGGGGGCTGCAGGGACCTGGCGGGAGGCAATGGGGCAGAGGTGGCCGCCAGGCTGAGCTGCCCCTGACCGTCCCAAAGATCCAGCAGCCCTGTTCCCGGCTGAACGTCCCTTCTGCCACGTTGGTCCTGTTTTCTGGAACAGTCTCCGAATTGCTTATGACATTTCCCCCCACATCATTGTGAACCCACCTGCATGCCCCATAATGCCAGGCGAGGAAAAGCCGCATTCCAAACAGAATGAGCTGTGATCATAACAGAACACAAAACGTGTGGGGGGAGGACGAGAAGGCACTACCCTGCTGTTATCTCTGGGCACTGAGATTCTGAACGGTCCCCTCCCCCAGTGCAGCCCCGACCTCATCCCTAGGGTAGACTTGCAATCGGGGGTGTGGATTTGAGAGTCGGGCCATTTAGGGTTAAAATTAAGCTGTGTGACCTTGCACGACACATTTCTTAAGCTCTCTCTGACCCAGAAGCTACCGAAGAGCTGGGACCCACCTTTGTGAACCAGCCTCCGTGTCTCCGAAGCTCGGCAGAGTGTCCAATGCTGGGCAAACGCTCAAAATATGTAAGCCATGCATTTAGGTGAGTGGGTCCGCTGGTGTGGACTCTTTGGGGCTAGAACAGAGCTACTCTTGGGGATCCCTGAAGACAGGGAGTGAGCCATCGGCTCCCCAGGGTGCCCAGCTCCTCCTGCTTGACCCAATCTGCATCCACGAGCCCCAACACGGCCCTGAATTCTACCTCCGCAACCTTCTTCTCCCTCCAGACACGAGGCGGGCACCATCTCAGAACTATGACTGCAAATCTGTTTCAAAGCACACGGTTGGACTCCCCTTAACAGGATCGCTGTGTAATTTGCAGGGCCCCCTGTTTAAAAATTATTAAACATTTCCAGAGAGGGACTGCAGAGTGTTCAATTAAGCATGGGGCCCTTCTAAGCACAGGGCCCTGCGTGGCTGCATGGTTGTACAGGCCCGAAGCCCGCTCCGCACCCAAGCAATACCATAGTTCTCAATGGCCACTGGTGAGGCAATGCCTCAGCCTGTAATTGTAGCGATGCCTGGACTTGGACAATGTTGCAGATCCAAGCCACTGTGGGAGATTAAAGGAGACCAGGTACCCTGAGCCTACCAAGAGCAAAAAATGGCTTGTGACTAAAAAAGCAGTATCATGTGGAACACGCAAAACATGCAGTAATATTTGGTGATGAAAAGAATTGAGCTGTGAAGACGCGAAATGACGTGGAGTAAACGGAAATGTATACGCCGGGGGGAAGGAAGTCAACCTGCAAAGGCTTCCTACTGTAGGATTCCAACCACAGGCCGTTCCGGAAAAGGCAGAATGACGGAGACAGCCAAAGGTTGCCATGGGGCTGGAGGTGGGGAGGGAGGGAGGAACGAATAGAGGATTTTTAGGGCGGTGAGGCTATTCTGCGTGACACTGTAATCGTGAAAACGCGTCACCAGACATTTGTCCTCACCTGTAGAAGGTACCACCCTAAAGGAAACTATGCCTTTTAGTTAGTTGTATTGGTTCAACAGTTGTAACAAACGCACCACATTCATGCAAAATGTAATAACAGGGGAGACTGTGGGGCTGGTATATGGGACTCCTCTAGACTTCCCTATTAATTTTTCTGTAAACCTAACACTGCTTTAAAAAAATAAAATCTATTTAATTTTAAAGAAAGGAATGCAGACCCTGTTTTCTTTACCAAATGTAGTGTGAGAGGGTTTCCGTCCTGAGTGGAAGGGAAGGAGGCGTGGGGTGTGGCGTCGCTGCTGGAACTCATCATTGGGGAAAGTGTGAAGAAAGAAGTATTTTGGGGTGCAGCCCCCCAGCGCCTGTCTGGTTCCTAAGAGGGTCCCCGGAGTGGCGGTGGTGCACGCGTGACCTGGGGTTTACCTGTTAAAGACTCGAGGAGTTCATGCGCGACGTCCGTGTGCCCGAAGTGAGCCGCCACCACGGCCGGGTTGTCATCCGTGGGTTCTGGGGGCAGCACCACCTGTTTCTGTGTGAGAAGGTACCGGACGGTCTCCAGGTCCCCGTAGGCCGCCGAGATGCTCAGAAGCTGGCCCTGGGTGACACAGAACAGGGGCTCCGTGAGATCTGCACTGTGGGAAACCTCTGAGGGACTCAACGCTGTGTGCTCTGTGAAGTCGTGGGCAAGACCGGAGCCGGGCTGTCCAGCGCGGCCCCACTGGCTGGCCGCCTGGGGCTGCTGGGCACCTGGAGTGTGGCCCGTGCCAAACCGGAGGTGCCAGGGGTACAGAATCACATGCGCGTTCAGAGATGTAGTACAATAAAAGGTAAACCATCTCGTCAATAATGTTTATATCGATTCCCTGTTGAAATAATGATCTTTTAAAAGAAATCCTTGCCTGAGGGGATGTCTATTGATTTTTAGAGCGTGAAAAAGAGGGAGGAAGGGAGAGAGGTAAAGAGAGAGACATCAGCGTGAGAACCAATTGCCTCACGCATGTGCCCCAACAAGGGATCGAACTTGCACCTGCAACCCAGACAAGTGCCCTGACTGAGACTCGAACCCACAACCTTTTGGTTTACAAAGTGATGCTCCAATCTACTGAGCCACCGGGATCAGGGAGAAATGGTGATCTTTAATATATGCAGGTTAAACAAAAATACATTATTAAAACTCCACCTGCCTGTTTATTTCTTTGAATGTAACTGCTAGAAAATTGGATGTTTTAAATGCGGCTGGCAATGTGTTTCTTTGGGAGAGAGCTTCGGGGGCGGGGGTCGAGTATCCCCAGGGCACCCCACTGGAGTTCAGGAGCCATCTGACACATGCTGTGTGGACCTGCGTGGACAGGAAGGCAGCCAGGCTCCCTGAAGGACCGCCACCTCCTCCTTGGCCAGTGACTGGTACTGGGACAAGACAGATGGGGGGGGGCTCAGACCTGAAACCGGGGATGAAGATCTTCCAGCAACGTGCAGTGGGACCCTTGACTTGGTAGCCCAAGGAAAAGGATAGGGTGGAAATTAGACCCTATGGGTCAGGCTGTATATATATATATATATTATATATGTATGTATCATATGGATCGCATGCATCTAGATTTGTTATCGTACGTGCAGACCAGGGATCGTGCCCTGACCGGGGATCGAACCTGCAACCTTTCAGTTACAGGATGACACTCTGACCAACTGAGCCACACCAGCCAGGGCCAGGCAGT